TTAGTAAACTTATACTGGTCATGTAGACCTTGTGGAGAGAAAGAAACAAATCCAGAAAACAGGCAGGAATGTGGGATAGTTCACATTCTTTTGACTGCCAGGGTGAAGAGTGCCAAGAAGATAATAGGAATTTAGCTACCTAGAGTTGAAGTCTCACAGAGTCTGAAATAGCACATTCTTTGCTCTTCCTACGATGGCATTGTTTATAATTTTCTTCATAATCAGTATCTTAAGTAAACCCCTGACCATCTGGTCCTCTAAGAACACCACTCTAGGGATTTTTGTAAGGACATACTCAGAAATTGGGAAGTCGAAATTGTATTATTAGGATCGTTTCCTTACAGTTTGTACACGATACCCTTACAACACAACCCAGGCAGGCAGACCTGGGTTTGAATCCTCACTCTACTGCCTGTGAGCTGTTTGATCTGGGATACTGTTCAGTTTCTCTGAACTTGAGTTTTTTCATGCAGAAAATGTAGACATCACTCCCAACTCATAAAATTATGGAGAGGATGAAATGAAATGATTTATATAAAGCAGTTAATTAATATAGCAACTAACATACAACTAGAAAGTATTAAAGGCTAATTTTTTTTTAATTGGGGAATTGGGGGAGGGGAACAGTGTTGGGGGATTGAGGAAAGGGAACAGCCAAGTTGTTGTCCTTCAATCTTAGTTGTGAAGGGCGCAGCTAGCTCAGCTCCAAGTCCAGTCGCGCCGCTCAGTTCAAGTGCTGTGTTCAATTAATTGCGGGTGGACGTAGCCACCATCCCACGTGTGAGTTGAACCAGCAGCCTTGTTAAGAGCACGCACTCTATCCTTAAAGGCTAATTTTGAAGCCAGGTCTCCTAGCTTGCTTGTTCTCATAGTCTCTCTCTCTCTTTCTCTCTGCCATTTCTATCTCTAGAGTATCCTTCTGACTCATGAAAATTGTTCCACTAACTGACTTTTTAAAAAGCATGTTTTTGAATTTTATTTTATTTTTAAATTTTAATCTGCCTTATCTGGCTACATTCCAAATATTAATCTCGTTGAGTAACCTTTTTCTAGGTGTTAAAAGCATGTGCTTAAATCCATTACTCAACTATCTGAAAAGAGAGGAATCACTCTGGAGAAAGAGAAATCTACTCTTCAGACTCCGTTTTTAAAACACGGATGCTGATCAATACTAGATTATTTGAATCTGTTCATAAGTAGGCTACATTTGTCTCATCTAGCACTGTATTTTAGAAGTTATTGAGTCAGAGATGCCTGTTAGAAGACAAACATTATAAAGGACAAAAAGGGTCATTTGAATTGTTTTTATTTTTTAGTTAAAAAAAAAAATTGGCTCAGGAGTGTTTGAAAAGTAATCCCATCGAGGCTGTGTGGGACTTGGTTTCTGAACTGATTCTTTTACTTTCCAATCATTAAAAAAACCCTGATATGCATAATGATAAACCAAAGTCAATACCTAGTTTTACTTTCCTGATTTCTTGGTAGCTAAAGCAAACATACCGGATCCTCGTGTGCTGCCCTTGTTTACATTTCTGTCCCCTTTGAAGCAGAGCTATGCTTGAGGAGGTTTATCCACTGTGGCTCCATCTCTGAAGCCACCAGAATGCACGCTGCCTTGGAAAACGTACACAGCACCCTCCCAAACAGCAACTTGCTTCTCCAAGGAAGGCGTGACTGTCACTGTGACATCATGGTTCTCTCAAGTGGCTTGGGTTGGAAACATCTCTGTGGCCTTTGAGATGATAACATTTTCCTAGCTTGTAAATAGGGATGATGAATAGTGACTGTGAGCACGAAGTGTTTACCAACTAAATCCGACAAGAGCCACACGAAGCTTGGTTGTTTTCATTTCAGTCTCAGACGTCGATAGAGCAACTTTTAAAAATATTTTTGTTAAAATGGTTCTGAAAATATATTAGGAGTTTAAGCATAAGCCAATCAAAAAGCTGGACTTCAGTTCTGATTCGCTTTTTTCATTCTTTAAAAACAAATCGTTTTTCTAATTTGAATGGGAGGGGATGCTAACCTGCTGAATTGCCAAAACGGAAGCCTTTCTTAAGTTTATTCTTTTAAAGGGTTTTGTTTTGAAATAATTTTAGATTTACAGTTGCAAAGATAGTATAGAGAGTTTCCAGTACGCTTCATTCAAGTTCCTCTAATATTAACATCTTATATAATCAAGATGAATTTATCAGAATCTTAGTTTACTTTTAAATAACATTTTTTACTTACTCTCATGAAAAGGAAGATTCCTGAGCTCTGACAGCAGTCAAAGAGGCTGAAGTTTATTAAAAACCAGAAATGTTTTTATTTTAAATTTTTTTAACTTTTAATTTTTTTTTTTTAGCTGGGAAAAGAAACAGGAGCTATAACCTTAATCTTAGGTGACACCATACTGTCCCAGTTATCTAAAGTGGCTTAGATTGGGGACATTCTGTGGCCTTTGAGATGGGATTCCAGATGCCCAAATAGGGCCCTAGGCCTCCAAGCTGTACGTTCCCATTCTGACAAGATGGTAGACATACACGCATTTAAAAATTATATCTAATAATGGATACCAGAGAGTATAATCTCAGTGTGAGCCTGTGCATCAAATCACAGCTCATTCTGGCTTTTAGAACACCATTAATACAGAGGGTGCTAAAAAAAGGCACCTTCCTTTAAGAAAGGAAAAAACAGTATTAAAATTGTGCTGATGGTAGCCACTTTGAGCATCTCTTGTAATTGTAGAAGTCAAATGTGACTTGTCTTCATCTTTCGTTATTGGTATATATTGAGTATTATGATTTTAATGCAGTTTTTTTCCTTTCCTAAAATGTGTATACATGTTTTTGGCCCCTCTATAAACACCAAATGCTTGTCCTTTTTCTCCCTGATCATGAGGCACTGCCAGCTTGTGCTTTCATGGTAAATCTGCAGTTTTGCACTCCTCATTGTGATATGATCTGTACCATGAACAGGTTGCTATTCATCAGTCGATGCCCTGTTGGACCTCACCTCCCTGAAGCTTCCTTGACCTCCCTGACCTCTCACTATCTCCCCTGTCCTGTGTATGTATCCTATACAAACTTCTGTCATTGCAAATATATTGAACTTTGATTATTATAATCACTTGCTTGTATGTCTATATTCCTCACTATATTTAAAATTTTTTCAAGAAATAAGCAATTCTTATTTATCTTTGTATCCTTAGGAGTTACCTCATTATATGGAATACAGTAGGCACTCAACAAATGAGTACATTTGAAGCCATCCTAACATTTATCCTATGAATTATGGATATGCTAACTTTCTCCTTAAAATTTTAAGCTTCAACTGGAATTAAGACATTCCAAGTAGAAATCCTTATGTCAGTGTTTCTCAAAGTTGTGGTTCATAGCCTGGCTACCTGCATAAGGATTATTTGGGAAATTGTTAAAAGGCCTCCACACAGACCTATTAGATCTGAACCTCTGGGAAATGCATCCTAGAGCAATGTCTTTTAATAAGGTCTGCACTGATGTTTGACAACTACTTGAAAGAAAAGTTCCATTAATCCATCAACTTCATTGTTTCCATCTCTTTCCATAGAGGTTTTGAAGTGAGTTATGATCAACGATATGACAATAAATTAAATGAAATAACAACACATTAATATCAGGGAAAAGGAGGCTTCTGGTTGGTTTAGGGTAACAGGCACTTCAAATTGGATTCTGAGATACATGCCAGGTAGCACAAAAAATGAGGCAGAACAAAATAAACATTTCTCACTATAAGAAGGAAAACAAAATGCCAGTTTCTCAGAAGAGACCACTTCCCCCTAAATTTTTTAAAGTAATTTCTCACTCGAGATTTACTTCAGAGCAGTGCATAATAGAATGATCCATATTTTCAATAAGATTTTTGCCAAATAGATGTTTTTCTAGTGAGTCAGATATGATGTAGGCTCAGGATATGCACTGATGTTGCCTTAACTTTCATGTCATTATACTATTTTTCTTTGGACAGGTTGATTCTAAACAGCCCCTTTCTCGTTTTCCAGTAAAGGCACATCTTCACACAGCTTCTTAGATAAGCTGCCTTATATCACTTGTCACAGTGGGGCCAATGCGAAGTTATAATCTCTAACAAGTACCAAGAATGCAGGTACAAAGCATTGCTGATTGAGGGTAGATTTATGTTCTTTGGAAACAAGAGAAGCAGTTGGTGAGGTTGACATTCTATTTATGAAATTTGAGAAGCCTCACCAGCAGTATTCTCTGGGTAGAAGTCATCCAGCTCTGTAACAATGTAAACAACAGAAAACAATACCAACAACAGTCAATATTTATGAAAGAGCTACTGCATAGACACCGGATATGTGCTCTCTTGGTCCATTTTAGGAACACTATATTCTAAGTGACATCGCCTCCATTTCACAAAGGAGGAAACAACTTGCAGAGGTTAAGTAAATGATGCAACCTCACATAACTAGTAAGTGGCAGAGTCAGATTAACACCCCGGTTTAGCTGATGCTAAAGCATGTGAACGCTTCAGAGTACTGATCTACACAGAATAAATATAGTGAAAGGAAAGACTTGAGAATGGGGTCATGGAAGATGTCTGGGCCTTGGCATCAAGACATCCAAGCTCCTTGCTAACTTGAGCAAAGTAGTAATTTCTGGTCTCAAGTGTCCTTATCTGTAAAGTAAGAGATTGAACTCTATTACTTTTAGAGCCCACTCCAATTTAAAGTCTATGATTCCTCTGCTGACAGGACCAGTTAATAAACATCGACTCTATTTTAAATACAAATTTAGTTTTTGCCATTCAACTTTATATTGCTTTAACCTCAAAGACAAAGATGAGACATGAAATAAAGAGCTGTAATTGTCTTCACATGTATTTAAACCATGGCTTTTGTTGCACAGAAATTGCATTAGCCCTAGAACTGACATTGATAACTATTATTTGAGTGATTTATCTTTTTTTTTTGGAAGAATTTTACGGTTTTATTAAAACACAATTTGCACACAAGCTGTCTATTCATTTCCTTCACTGCGCAGCCTGGCATTGGGGTTGGTGACTCTGACGGCCAGCTGGGCTGCTCTTTCCACAATGGCTTTGTGGTTCTTGGAGGAGACGTTGTGAGCAATCTCAGCACGGTAAGATGTGTTGCACATCAGCAGCACTTCAAGCTCCTTGATACTGTAGACCAGGAACTTCCGAAAGCCACTGGGCAGCATGTGCTTTGTTTTCTTGTTACTCCCATAACCAATGTTGGGCATCAAGATCTGGCCCTTGAATCTCCTGCGCACCCTATTGTCAATGCCGCTGGGTTTCCGCCAGTTACGCTTAATTTTGACATATCGGTCTGCCTGGTGCCAGATAAACTTCTTGGTCCTCTTTTTTTTTTTTAAGCTGAGCCATCCTGCCACCTGTTGGCAGCTCAGTGGCTGCTCAGCTCGGGCTGGGAATCAAACTGCTGTTGCTCAGAGCTCAAACTCTTGAGTGAGCTCTTAACCAACTGAGCCACTTGGCCGGCCCTCTTGGTCCTCTTTTTGACGATCTTGGGCTTCACGAGTGGTCCAAGGGCAGCCATGATACCGAGTAAAAGATGAGCGCCGCCTCCGTAGGCAGCGCAGAGGAAGAGAGCTTGAGTGATTTATCTGTGCCAAGCACTCTTGTAAGAGCTTTAAGTACCTTAGCTGAGTTTATCCTCCTACAATTTATGAGATCAAGTGTATTCTTAACCTCATTCTACAGGTGGTGAAATTGAGGCACAAAGAGGCTTATGTGACCTACCTGTAGTTACACTGGTGGTAAGTGGTTGAGCCAGGATTTGTACTCAGGCAGTTGGCTCTAGACTCTGAAACCCAAGCAGTTTTCTCAAGAGTCTAGAGTCTATGTTATTGGCCAGCACACTAAGCTCCCTCTAGAATATACATGCCTTGTACAGTCATGGAAACTTGTATTCATTCATGGAAATGAATATACTAATTAAAAATTGAAAGTCACATATCTTATTTCTGAAGGAAATAACTGAATGCAATATTATTGAAATTCCATATTGCCATTGAGGTCTAATGGCTTTCCCTGATGTCTTTGCATCCTTGCATGATTCAAAATAGTTACATTTTTTAAACTAAACCCAGTGAAGGCATGGCCTTCTCTGTCTTACGCAGTGCCTGGAAAATCACTCAACGGATCTTTGTTGGAAGAATTAATGCATTAAAGAGAAAAAACTTTTCCTCGTTGGTGTATGTATGTTTGCACTTGTGCATCTCATTTTAATACATACAAAGGGAACATAAAATCTTACTCCAATTAGGGTATGCAACTTTCAGGTCACAACATTTCCTTTCAAACAATATATCAACATTATATTAAATAACTCAATTATCTTAACTTAAGACAAATCTCTGAAGCACATTTTTCTTAAAACCTGCAGTTAAAGAGGGCCTAGCTGTTTTTTAATTTGGACTATTATCTGGGTGCTATAATCATTATATAACTCTTTTTTTCTTTTAAGACCTTTACTGACAACTCTACAACCAAAGGACCACTTGACCATTGTTTCTTGAAAGTACCACAGAACTCTTTAGAAGAGAATGCAACATAATATCCCCTTAAGTCAGAACCAATGGGTCAAACTCTTTTTTTAGAGCATGCACCTATTAATCATGCAGATTTAATTTTCCCCTTGGTTGCCCCCTGGGATATCAAAGGTTTATGTCTTTTTTGTTTGTTTGTTTGGCTTTTAAATACACAGTGTACTCATGACAGCAAATCAAACCTGTTAGTGGCATCACAAAGGAGAACTGATGCCGGGAACAGGACCACTGCAAATTTGATTAAAATGGCAATCACTGACAGCACAGCACACATTGGGGTTTTAAATACCTCTCTCTGTGGCATTTGTCATATTAAGAGCTGCAGCATAAACAAAGGAAAAAGCAAATCAAATGTTGCATAAACATTGTATGATTGCTTACACTACTCTAGGTGTACCAAAGAAAGAAGGCAGCCAGAAATCTAACATTTTTGAAATCAGTCTTGATCTTATTGGTTTATCTATTCATTGACATTTACCTATATACAATATATGGTATATATATATAACATATATACTATATAATGATTTGTTTTGGTCTATTGGAATTCTACTTGTTGTCTTACATGCTGCATATGTCTGCAAACATTCTTCAAAAAAGAAATGTCTCAGGTATACCTGGTTAGCCCTTTAGGGTATGTGGTGAAACCTTTCAGCCGAGCAATGGACCGGCAGCATTCAAGTGTGCTGACCAGTGACGGAGACTCATGTACAGAGGCCACTTAAATTTGCCAAATGGCTGGCCTTCCGTTCTCACTCCCCAAAATGCCTCTCCCAAGTGCTGACACAGGGTTCCGCTTTGCAGGCCCCATGCAAATGAGAGGTTGTTTAAACCTTAGAGGAACTTGTAATAACACTGTACCTAAAAGGGCTCTGTTCTTGTTCTTTGTCTGCTTCCAGGGTTTTCCTTTGCAGCTTTGTACTGGTGCCAACCAACCACTTCCCACTGGTATTGCTGACTGAAAACCCTCCCTTGGTTCCAGATACACGTTTGCCCAATCTTTTCCTTAATGGCTTAAAGCTCCATGGGTAAACAAAGTAACAGAAAATGCAATCAACAGGGAGCCCAGTACATTCCAACATTCATCTGTTTTAATTTGGATCTTAAGTAGTCTACACTCAACCAGTTTCTATACACAAAGCAAGATTCTGAATGTAGTAAGATCCACATTCAGCTCCAAATAAATCAATTATATCATAATAGGTAAAATAAAGAATATAAAGGAAATGTAACGGAAATATGTAAGAGCACAAGGTAAATATAAAAAAAATTTATATATTTGTAAATGTTTTTTGGATCTTTTCCAATGATTAAAAAAACTTGTAACAATGATCTTTGGCTATAAACCAAGAAGAATTACCTTATTATATTGAAAGCATTTAATTTCTGTGGTGTGGTGTAATTAAGCACATTTTTTTAAAGGGAGACTATCCCCAAAACCAGAGTAAAATCAGAGTCTTACAGTTCAGAGGTCATCTAGAGCCTCCATGATGGCAGCCTCTCCTTGAAAACTCTCACCCTACCACTGAAATCATCACATGCCATTGTCTTATCGCCCTGCCACTATGTCTGTCTTTCTATCCTTTAGAGTACTCAGGAGAAAATTGTTTCAGTACAGTTACATAAGAGAAACAATGTGGATCATTCTTGGGATACACACCTACCTAACAGAACATGAAACAGATTGGCAAAAGACACAAGACTCTTGACTTAGAAGAGAATCCCTTCTACAGCATTGAAAAGTCGCTCTGTCTCTGTTTTCAATCTAACAAAACTAATATATATATATTAGCAGCACATATAGATGTTGGGGGGCAGGGAGAGGCTACATGGAATCATGCTACTGAACATGATGCTTTCATCTCTGTGAGGAGCTAATGAAAAGAAATGATCTCAAGCAGAAGGAATATTTCTGGTTAAATATAAGGAAATCTTTATGATCCAATATGATTGGTTTATCTTTGTTTATCATTGTATATTCATTCTCATATTTGGATACAGCTAAGGACTGGTCTTAACTAGAAGCAGAAGCTGCAAACCAGGTGTGATTGCCTTTAAGATGAATAAGACAAATCTCAAATTCAGAGATATTAAAATGCACAACAAAGAAACAACAAAAAAATTAGCCAATGGCGATTGTAAGAAACCAATGACTCTGAGGTGCATTCCATTTTAATGTTTTAAAATATTTTTAAAGTTATAATCTATGAAATATGATATATAGATTTCTCTGGCCCTTGTCACATCCTGCAATGAAACTGCTCCTAACGCCCATTAAGCTTTGCAAAGGAAGAGCCTCCACAGTTGTGAGATTCACAACTCCTTTCTGCGTTGCAGGTGACTATGGGATTTGGGAAACCACAGACTCCCCTGCTGATGTCAAGTCAGTATACATATATAGTTCTCAACTAGTAGTGCTTCATTTTTTTCTGGAAACTTACCTTTATTTTGCTTCATGATAACACCTAACCAAGTGTAGAAAATGTTCACTGAGAAATCAGACTCCAAATAGAATTTTAGTGTTGGATCCTCTGAGTCACTGTAAAATCATAAACTCCCGGTTTCTGCCCGTAAGTGGGAAAGGCGAGTCTAATGGGGAGAGAATCCACCAGCAGCTTCGGATCTCTGACTCCTTTCAGTTCCCACTCCATCATGGCGGCTCCCTCACTTCCTCTTGCAGGCCTCAAGCTTACTTTCTTTATGGATTGATTCCTTCCCTAACCAAAAGGCATGCTCTGTGTTCTGTTCACCAGGACCTCACCTTCAACCTTAATTCTTTAGCTGACAGCCGAGTGTTGTGACTGTCTAATCAACATAGAGATTAATTGCCTTTGACAAGTTTTTCCCATCCCTCAGTTTGTTCTAGAGCAGAATGGAGCAACAGAGCTGCAAAAATATATATCAAAGCAGTGAACAGAAAGGTTGGTGTCACTTTATCAAAATGTTATAGTTGGAAGAAATAATTTTTTCCAAAGTATAAATACATGTATTAATTCTTCCTAATTATAAAGGTCTCTTTTGAAAAAGTTGAAAAAATATAGAGCCATATAAAGTATGTGGTAGTAGTTAACTTCCATGTAACTCTATATGCAGAGATGATGACTATTAACAATTTGGTATATATACTCTAATGCATAATATATAATACTGGTTGTTTTTGTTTGTTTGTTTGTTTGTTTGTTTTGCCTGTAAACTTTTTTACAATTTTAAAAATTATTTTCAGTTGTACAAAACAACATAGTGATTAGACATTTATATACCTCACAAAGTAATAATCCCAATAAGTCTGTTACCTATCTGACACTGTACATAGTTATTACAATATTATTGACTATATTCCCAATGCTGTACTTTGTATCCCCATGACTATTTTTAAAAAATTCTAGTTGACATTCAATATCATTTTATATTAGTTTCAGATGTATGGCGTAGTAGTTAGACATTTATATAACTTATCAAGTGATCCCTCAGATAAATCTAGTACCCATCTGACACTATACATAGTTTTTACAATATTATTGACTGTATTCCCCATACTGTCCTTTACATCCCCATGACTATTTTGTAACTACGAATTTGTGCTTCTTAATCCCTTTACCTTTTTCCCCCAGCCCCTTAACCCTCTCTCCCATCTGGCAACCGTCAGTTTGTTCTCTGTATCTGTGAGTTTGTTTCTGTTTTGATTATTTGTTTATTTTGTTTTTTTAGATTCCACATGTAAATGAGATCATATGGTATTTTCCTTTTCTGTCTGACTTATTTCACTTAGCATAATACCCTCTAGGGCCATCCATGTTGTTGCAAATGGTAACATTTCATCTTTTCTTATGGCAGAGTGGTATTCCATTGTATGTATGTACCACAATTTCTTTATCCAATCATCTATTGATGAGCATTTCGGTTGTTTCCAAGTCTTGGCTATTGTGAATAGCACTGCAGTGAACATAGGGGTGCATATATCTTTTTGAATTACTGTTTTGGATTTCTT